CGTAATTATAATTATAATTATGTGTGTGTGTGTGTGTGTGTGTGTGTGTGTTGTTGTGGAAATTTCGCAATGTAAACCTTCAGTTTATTGTGGTATCTTACAGCACGGGCCCGGGGAGATACCTCAGGAATTCTCCCCCAAGCCTCTTCTTACAATTCTTTTTATCCCTGCGTTCTGCTGTGTGTTTCCATATATGGTTTGTTCCGGTGTTTCAGTGCTCGCTATTTCTTGACTAGGGCCTGATGCCATCATCCGACCTTGAACACACGGTTCCTACTGGCCTAGTGCATTCCTCTATTGCTAGGAGATTATACATATACATAACATTCACTACTTTTGTATTACATTTGGGGTTTTCTCTCACACTGTATATATATTGGGGGGGGAGTGTAATTATATGTGTATTAATTACGGCCTTGGCTCAAAGTATTTCAAAATATAAATAATATGTGAAGCAGGTACTTATGCAATATGAAAGCATTTTAAACTTTTTTGGAATACTACTCCACATTTTAAGATTCATAAGCACTATACAGAAGAGCAACTACATAAAGATTCGTGCCTGCGGTTTCAATATTATCCTTATTCATATCTTCTTCTTGATTTAAGGGAATGTTTTTGTGACGTACTCTGTGGATACAGCCCCTGAAATGGTTCCTTTTGTTGAGTTTCTGACCAAACATGGCTTCTGTCCGGCGGTAAGACATAAAAAACTATGTGGAAATCGTAATATGATCTGAATGCCAGGTACCTGTTTTGTCTGATCTTCTTTGGAGTAACATTTGTCTGTGTTGTGTTACAGATTGACATATTTGACAATCCCGTTAGACGCATGGATATCAACATGTGGATGGACAGCTATTTGAAAGATGTACGTCCTTTGTACAGTTTAGCTCTCATTTACAGAGTTTCAAATCATTTTGTGGTCAATGATAGCTGTCCCTCCTCATAAAGTGACAATAATCTCATAAGTTGATGGTTTATGCGTCGCAGAAATCAGTGCTTATAATCATAGCCATCAGTCCCAAGTACAAGATGGACATTGAGGGATCTGGCCGGGATGCACATGGCCTGCACACCAAATACATCCACTCCATGGTGAGACCGTATTGTCATCTCCAGCTCCATCATCTAGTTACTTCAGTTCCCTCCAGTGGTCCAGAGACACATAGCTCAGCTGAACTGGCAAATCCAGATTTCACATAGCATGTGAGTGCCCGGTCCAAATATAGTCTCTGAATCATCTTAACCTTATTAGGATAAGTGGTTATTTATAATGAAATGAGGTCCAAAAGCTCATTGCTCATGTTCAGGGGCTTCATCAGTCACCCTGTGGTTTGACCCACCTCCTGTTGATTGTTTATGGTTTCATGCAGGGTTGAAATATGTTTTGATTGACATCGCACAATGATCCCACCCACCCTGGGTTTGAAACCCCATTACTGCCACTGACATTGAAAAGTGATGGATATCTATCTATCTATAGATGCAGAATATGGTACCACTTGAGGAGACACAAATAATGTAGTATTATGCTATTACATATGTATTAATTGACCACAAATTAGGTGATAGTTATAAACTGATCTCACGTTTGTTCATCATTAATGAATTCTCACACATCATTCTGTCTCAAGCAAATACTATATTTGTTACTATACCTGTTAATCCTGTAAACCAGGGCTATTCAAATCATGGTCCTCAAGGTCCAGGCTCCTGATTTTCCAGCCTTCCTTTACCTGTGAGCCAGGTGGAAAGCCTCTGGCCAATCAGAATCAGTAATTATTAAACTAACTACCTGGGAGAACTGAAAACAAGGCCTGGATTTGGAATCGAGGGCCAGATTTGAAGAGCCCTGTGTAAACCTTTTGTCAACTACAGAAGGAACTACTGAATGAACTATTAAGGAACTGTTGAAGGAACAAATAATGAATGACACAAGTGAAATACTGAACTTGTGATGTCATATAGTGCACATCGCTCACAAAGGAACTAATTTTTTACATTGTGGGTCTTAGATGCAGCACGAGTTCATCCAGCAGGGCAGCCTAAACTTCAGATTCATCCCTGTTCTCTTCGCGAACGCGACCCAGGTGTGTTGCAAGGCATCTCTGCAGGCCTCCATTGATCAAAACCGTGTCATAATTAAACGAGTTTGTACATGGAACAAAAACATAGCCTGGAAGATAAATTTCATAATTTATGAAAGCAGTATCATAGCAGGTGTCTTTACTGATATGCAGAGGTAGAAATATCAAGTCCAGAGACTAAAGGTCCAGACCAAGATTTCGTTCCAACCAACCAGTTGAGTATAAAGAGTTACAGCCACAGAGCACTCAACTGGTTGGTTGAAACAAAATCTTGGTCTGGATTTTTACTTTCTGGACCTGAAATTTCCACCTCTGCTGATATGTTGTAAAAGACGTACGGCGGTAAGATCTGATGTTTCAACACGTTATTATGTGGTTCATAGAAACATGTACCAGGCTGGCTTCAGAATACACGGATCTACAGGTGGCCCCGTGATGCGGAGGACATACTCCTTAGGCTACTCCGTGAAGAGAGGTACATCCCTCCACCCATGGCTTCCACGCTCACCCTCACCATCCGCCCGGTGGGCTTGGACCACGCCATCACCATGTAACCACTGAAACAGTCCCTCACTCCTGTAAAATATTCATGTTTTTATTTCATGTTGTTCTCAAAACAGCCCAAATCTCCTGTCTATATTAAACTACTGTTGTAGACTGTGTGTTCTGTTATGGAAGTACTATTATATTGCCAAACTGTTATTACATATTGTTATTACATAATGTAATCCCACCAAACACTATTTTTTTACCATTATTGTTTAAGGAATTCAAGTTTTTCCCAATAATAAGTCCATAATAGAATTTCAAATCAATAGTTTGACTTAAAGAACACATGAGCTGTAATGGTAATAATTAATGTCATTGTCAATGAGTATATAGTGTTTTCACAGCTGCATTTACACATTGTAATCATGTGTGTTTGAGCCAAAATTCAGACCAGACCTAGTATTGGGTTTGTGGGAGTTTAACTTACAGATAAATATTCTGAGGGCAAAACAAAAAATTATTGGTTCAGAGAGATAACCAATCAACATCCAAGATTCTTTCATTCTCACATGCATAGTTATACAGGTATAACATGCAGTGAAATATATCCTGAACCACTCTTTTGACTGTTCAACATTAGAATAAATCAGATTGTAGAGGAGGCAGGTCCAAGGAACTAGAGGAGGTGGGACCAAGGCATTTGATTGGTTGGTCTGACATCTGACCTAGATCTGACTGGTTATCTCTCTGAACCAATCTTTTTTTGTTCTGTCCTTGGAACTTTTTTGAGTAAGTAAAACTCCCATGATCTAGTCGTGGCCTGATCTTAGTCCTTGGTAACTGGCTGTATTATTATGATTTTTAAGTTATATATATGTTTTTATTTTGATCTTAAAGTACCTGTCAACACAAGTCTTTAGTTTTCCTGGAGTGGCTTCGGTATAATTGTGCTTTGTCATGGAGATTAAGCTTAGGGTGCTGAAACTAGTTACAGTAACATAGGAGGACCTGCGATCACTACACAGCAATCTTACAGGTTTCTTCAACAATAAGCGGTTTTACTTGAGTGATACGGTACTATCAGCAATTTGCCAAGTACAGCAAGCGGACTCTGCATTACAAGGTGGAAACATATTAAATTGACCAAACTGTCTAGGTTTTGCTTTTTTTTGGGGGGGGGGGGGAGGGAATAAACTTATTTAGTAATATTTATTGTGAATCAGTGGCACTGTTGTGTTCTATGGATTAGATTCAATTTCTGTATTAGTACGGCATGTGAATCAAGTGCAAATCAGCAGAATATATTAAATTCTGCTTTTGAAGATAGTTTCGACCTTTTACAACGAGGCTGAGTTGGGTGTCCTAAGTTCCACAAAACAGCAATACATGGAGCAGGATTGAAAAGATTCACCGATTTCAATGAGAACATATACCATACATATACCATATACCGAATGGCCTCCTCTCGTTTGTAAATTTCTTATGTTCTTATGTTCTTATGTGGTTATCTCAGTCTACATATAGGTTATATGTTTATGTTATATAACAGAGATATTTGAAATGTTTTCTTTATATGTGACTGTGGTATTAAGTTTTCAAATGTACGTTGCTCTGAGGTTTGTAGCCTTCTTTGTGTAGTCCAATATCTGGCACGACACTTTGATGGTGTGTGAGCTTTGCAATGCCTTTATAAACATGCTTCCGTAACAGGGACTCCGGAATACCGCAAATGCCAGTGTCAAAGACAGAATAAGAACCTTCTCCTTCTTCGTCTTAAATTCGGCTTTCCTCAACCTGTCATAGGCCACACCAACAAAGATGAACAACAACAAGGGAGTAACCAGTCCAAATAGGTTTCTGAACAGGCTGAATGGAAATCGCAGGACTCTGCTCTCCTGAAGGTGGCAGACTGACAGCTGAGCCAAGAGCTGGGTCGTCTTGTTGAAAAGAACAGCGGGAAGAGCGAGCAAGACCCCAAACAGCAAGGGCGAACACGCACAGAAGGGGCCTGTTCACCGTGGTCGCCGTTTGCACGCAGACACTAAACAGAAGCAAGACCCCCGTATACATGCTCTGGTCTCTCTGGGCTGACAGTATTTTGCAGGCAAGGTCTCCAAAAATCCAGGAGGAGACTCGATGGCCCAGGTGGCCAAAGAGAGGGCAGACACGAGGTCATTGATGGCCAGGTTCCACAGGTAAATGTCCAGCGATCCTTTCTGGTAGCGTGGACAGCCAACCACCAGCAGCACAACTAAATTGCCAACCACCCCCAGAGTGAACACCAGCAATAAGATGACCACTTCGACTCTCCCACTGAGCAAAGGGTCAGACTGCGGGCAGGTACAACTTCTGGGGTTGATGTTCACATCCGTGGTGTTCAAACTGACATTCTTAACACCTGTCACTAAACCATCATGCGACATACTTGCCTCCTGTGAAGGCAAAAACAAAGATATAATTAGTACATTTCAGAGATCTGCCAATTCTAACGAAACGCTCCATTCATCCACTGTCCATAATGGCCTAAAGCAGCAGGGAGGATGTGCACAGAAGCAAATCGCATGGTGCATCCTGGACGGGACATCAGTCCTGTACAGTATTGTTTCCTAACCCAATCCTGGGGTCCCACAGACAGCCTTACAGCACACACACACAAACACGCACACAGGTTTATAATTGTATCTTTGTGGGGACTCTAACCCCAACATGACAACCTTAACGCCCACCCAGCCCTAACCTTAACCGTAAGTAACCAAGCAAAACATGAGACTTTTGGCTTTTTAACTTTTTTGATCGCATTCGCAGATCTTTGTCGGGACCTGAAAAATGGTCCCTACAACGTCAAAAAAACCTAATCCACACACACTAATGAGGATTTAAACACACAAACCCACCTAATGAGGATGTTTTTCTTATTGCAGGAAACCCACATGAATATGGGGCATGATAATATATTCACACGTATACATGAAAATCAAAAAAACAATTAGAGGTTTGAGACCACGGTGCTACTCACTGAGCTAACGTGCCATCCCTTATACCGTATATAATACTTGATACTATATACTGTATAATATAATGATTAAGAGATCTACACATATTTATTATATTGTACACATATATAGAAAAAAACGTACTTACGGGAATGTGGGGGAAGGCCAAGGCGATGGAGCTGGATGTAATTTAGGCGGAATCGGGCTGCCCGTAATGTTTGTGATTCAGACATTGTGTTGGTTTATATTCAACCTTCTCTTCAGTCAATTTTATATATATATATATATATATATATATATATATATATATATATATATGCGCTATTTTTGGATTAATTTCTTTCAAATGTTAATTTTTGGGTCAAAGTGAAACTGTACACCGTTCGAATAATTCAAAATCCCTTCGTCTCAGAAAACGAAGTGTAATTGAAAAACATAAGCCTACGATTATTTTATTCTTCGTTAACAACCTTTTTCCATATTTTAGCTGGTTAGACATACTGGTTTGACACGCCTAACCGATGCGTTTAGCTTCTGCTTGATTAAGTGTTGTGCAAACGTTAGATAAGAGCTGACAGTAATATATATTGATCGTATAGATGAATTGCGAAAATGCAGTGACACCAAAGTTTTAAAACACATATGTTTAACACGTCACAAGAGGGCGCCATTACGCAGTTTATTTTTTAAAATGTAATTTATGTAATGCATGTCCTGTTTAGTTAGTCTTTTATATATAAACAGGAAACTGGTCCATCCCTCGATATTACGCAGATCAGGCCACATTATAAAGCTTGCATTTCCATACTTGTTTAGATAACTTCACGTGCACGGATGTTGCTAAAGTACATTGAATAAACTACTAAATAATCCAAAATAATATTCACTAGTTATTTCTTTCCTTGGAAACACTTTACTAGAGGGGACACAAATGTAGTATTACACTCTTATTTAATGAATTAATTAACCAGAAACTAAGTGCTATTTACGTACTGATCTCATGTTCGTTCACCATTAATCAATTTAACAGTTGTTGATCAAATACAAATCATGAACAAATATAGTAACTGAATTTCATAGTTACTATATTTGTTCGTGATTTGTACTCGATTAGTAACCGAGTTACTAAAAGTTATTTGCCCCCTCAGCTCAAGTAAAGTGTTGCTCTTTCACTTCTCTACTGATTCCTACTCGCAACTTACAGTAAGGGAAACCTCCACGGCTAAAAATGCTCCTCCTTCATGCCTGAATTCCCTGTTGAACTTCTGCAGAATTACACGTTAATTGAAAGGGATTTTATTTGCATTCTATTTTATATTCTTTTCAGTCAATGTAAATAATCAATGTGTGCTATGTGAAATCAAATATAAACAAAACTTTAAAAAATAGTCAGTGATCTTGTCCTGGATGTGCGCTTAGAAGTAGATTTCTAAAATTAAATTAAATATATGCTATAACTCTCTGAAAGATCGATGTAAGATTTCCTTAATTTATTTGATCAGAAAAATAAACTTGAGATCATTGAACTATTAATTAAAAGTTGAAGCTTATTGTAGAAATAAGATGATCATTCCTGCATTATCCTATTATGTGCTAAATGTTAAATAATTAATAGTAAATAAATAGTATGCTGAAAGAAAAAGGAATTTTGCTGAATAGTGCCGTCTTGGTGTTTCCTCTACAAATAACCCATCAATATCCCAGCTGAAGTGGATTAATTGCGACAGGGGACTGATCTTCTGGAAGACTCATCTCATGAGCTGTTGACGACAGAAGCTGCACTGTTATCTTTAAATGGCAATGCAGACTGTGATTGGCACAGCCAGCACTAATAATAAACCGTGACAGAAATGGATTAGGTTACCTTAAAGTCCCAGTAGTGTAGCAAAGTTTTCCTTCCTATACCAGTAAGATCCAGCTATTATTCAGGAGAGGAAATCTAGCCAACATCAGCCACCTACCAAAGCCTGGCCATTTTTACATTCCTCTCCTGCTTTTGTTTGCTCGGTTGGAACAACAGTGGATCCATAAACAAATTAGCACTGTGGACTTGAATAACAGAAACATTCAGAAACTACAAAAATCTCAGCATACCTTGAATAGAATGATTGAGTCTGTTTGGATAAAACCACACCTTCTGGAACAGCCTTGAAGAGTTCGTTACTGAGGGTCACGACATTTTCAAGAAGAAAACTCTCTTAAATCAAGCTCTGCACCATGACTGAGGCTGCAGCAGAAGGTACCAGATTTTAATAAAAGCTCCATATAGTGTGTGTATGTTTTCAGAGCAAGTTTCACAGTAGCAGGAAAGTTGTGGTATAAATCAATTTGTGATTTGCTACTGTTGCTGAATTTAAAGATTAGAGATATTTAATAATGTTACATAAATGATGGACAGGACTGGATGTTTTCTGTCCATGTGGCATGCGTGTATTGTCCCATAGGACCTGCTGTTTCTGGACTTCATTGTGATATTTATATAACAGCCTGTTACAGCAGGGCGTGTCATGTTTAAATGTCTGGATTTGACACAAAAATATAAAAAAAAAAACAAATGTCTTGGGAGGGCCTCTTGTATCATTGGGCAAAGTACTTTTATTTGAAATGACATCTGTTACTTAAGCTTAATACTTATTGTTACTCTTAAGCAAGAATCAATATTTAGAACTCTAGCAGTAAGCAATCTATAATTAACTGAGGAAGGGTCAGACGACTACCTAGATTATCAAATGTGCGCTAGATGTTACGTTTACCATCCTGTGCATTAAAATAATTATAGCTGTCAAACACCCATAGGAATTTGGTGGCAAATCTTCAAAGAAATTTCTTGCCTGTAATACAAGAGATGCAAGCTGTCTCAGTGCTTGTTTGCTGTGTTTGTTTTGAGGTCCACAATGGCTGATTCGTTTAACATGAGAGTGAATGAAGCGCACGGTGGTTATAGATCATGCTCTGAATAAGCAGATGCGGGAGCGCTGTAATCCCGCGGCAGGCACGAGGGCGCTGTGTAATGTGCACCGACAGGTGGTCCCACTGGGAAGTTTCCATTGCATCCCCCCTCCCTCCTCAACAAGTCACATCATCGCTGAATCAGAGCATTTGGTATCAGCAGGTTTCACACTAGCGCAATCTGCTAAATAGTACTATAACTGCATTTTAAAAATAATAATACTACTAAATTATAATGCTGGACTGATACGCATCAGCCACTTAATGCTGCACATTTCTTTTACATGTATAGTTTATGTCCGGTAACGGTTTACATTAACTGCACCTTCATAATGCTTTTATATTGCATTCATAAAACGTTCAGTGCACCTTCATAACGTATTTTAAAAATAATAATACTACTAAATTATAATGCTGGACTGATACACATCAGCCACTTAATGCTGCACATTTCTTTTACATGTATAGTTTATGTCCGGTAACGGTTTACATTAACTGCACCTTCATAATGCTTTTATATTGCATTCATAAAACGTTCAGTGCACCTTCATAACGTATTCATTAAGTATTCAGAAAACATTCATAAACATCATGTATGTATACCTTAACATCCTAACATCCCTTAACAGCTGTAATATACATTAATAACAAACATCATATAATAATAACAAACATTATAATTGTATAATCATGTAATGTTTGTTATTAATGTATATTACAGCTGTTAAGGGATCTTTGGATGTTAAGGTGTACTTGCATGCTGCTTATAAATGTTCTATGAATGCATTATGAAGATGCACTGAATGTTCTATGAATGCATAATGAATTCATTATGAAGATAAAGCTTAATATAAAGCGTTACCTTGTGTTTATTGGACCAGCCACTTAACACTACACATTCTGATCTAAGAGCCATATGTATATTTACTCATTTAATGTATATATTGAAGTATGTGTATATTTTACATTAGTAAATATTTTTGTCTTTGCTGTTATTTTTTTTCTGTGTTCGATATGTACTGTGTGTTTTACATGCTATCTACTGTGCTATTGTTTTTTGTTTTCTTTTCTGCAGCATCTAGTGTGAAGAAAATAAAAAATTAGTGGTGTGATGTGCAAAATTGCTTGAATCTTGATAGTCTTCCTCTTGCTTTCTGGTGTCAAATAAATCCATATCATATATATTATGTCTGTATAAGTACATATGTGTGTATATATATGTATATACAGCCGTGGAATAAATTAAGAGACCACTCTATATTTGTAAACAAATCTGCATTTTTAAATCCTAGTTTAATCCTGGTTCTGCTGGCAGAATGCTACATTGCGAGGCAGGCTGCTTCCACTATATATTTATATATATATATATATAATTTCATTCACAGATGCACACCCATATATTGAGAGATGAATGAAACAAAAAATTGTGCTTTGGTCTCTTATTTTTTCCCATGGCTGTATATTTATAAAACACTGGTGCTAGCCATTCTATGGAAGAATGTAATTCAGTTGATATATATCAACATAAAGTCAGATGATAGTGAGATTGCAGGATTCCGGGGTATTCTGGATTGTTTTCTATCTGCGCTTTCATTTGATTGCAGACTTGTTCAACGTGCCGGCACCAGTCATTGACTATGAGAGTGAAACCACGTTACAGCCTGAGCGAACAGCAAACAAGAGCCTGCTCTCCATCTTCAGCTCCCCTTGGCCATGGCTTCTGCTCCTCTCCCTCATCTTCCTCGGGTCATCAGTCGCCATCACGTTCGACCTCATCAACTACAGAGGCCTGACTGGTAGGACCTGCTAGTGACTGCAGAGGATTATCGACCCACTAAAAGTTCAAATCAGCCAATAAGCCAATGGCATAGGAAAGAGTTTGATATTAGGAGTTGGGGTGGGGGTTACAATTTAATGATTTAAGTGGGGGGGGGGCTGGACGGTTACTACACCCCCATAATAAGTTGTTTGGAGAATGAGAGCCTTTGCATAATCTCAAATAAGTATGAACCAAAACATTCTACTCACTAATTTTTCCATTTTACCTGATTACATGGACTATAGGGAGGTATGTAATAATACCTGTCTATCTGCCTTTCATGTCGATTATTGTCTTCTTGTGTATGACATTACCATATATTACACTTCTTGCCATGATGATCAAACGTTTCTATTTTTAGGAGAATTGTGTGACATGTATTTTGACCCCATGGAAATGGTCAGCGAAGCAGTGGATGAATTTTCCAACTTGACGAAACAGTCCTTAACCTCCTTATACAGCATTCTCCTAGAAGAAGGTATTTCTAACCACAAATCATGCTTGTCAGTTCACTGACATGGAGCGCATTTGTTATATAACAAAAAACACATTCAGTAATAAATGCTGTGCATGTTCCTCTTATTTGAATTTTAGACTGAAAACTTAATTTTGAGGTTGGCACATTGACAGCAACGTACAGCATGCAAACAGGAAGATAAAGAGAAACAGCACACAGGTATACAATAAAGACAGATACATTTCAATTCACTACTTTAGTTCAGTAACAGCACATCACCACACAAACGGAAATAAATATGAATAAAAAGCAAAATGAAGAAATAGCAACCATACAGTATGTGAAACTCACTGCAAATCACATTTCCTACACCTCTAATCCACAACAAAGGTGTTTTTACAAAACAATTACAAAAACAAACACTATTTACATAAAAGGCATGCTTTGTTCACTTAATCCTCACTCAAAGTTTATAGTATGGATCAATGTAGTGGAACCGCAGAAGAAAGAGCAAGAATTCATTTAAAAAGCAAGTGTTAGACTTGCCAGCTAACATGCCTGCACAACATCAAAGAACATTAGTAACAGATTTACTAACAAGGCTGACAGCATGAAACTGCAGCTTCTTTTAACAGATACACATCTGAAGGCATCTATGTGAGAGCACCACACACCCAATAAACAGGTTATGCTGTTGCATCATATGTGTCAAATGAGCAGCAGAATCACTCTTTCTCACGCTTAATGAAGCTCATAGAACTGCCTCATCCAATCACTTTGTTACATCCTGTCCACTTTTTCTGTGTCATCAGGACACAATTGAAATAGAGAGTTCACTTTAAGTTTCTCATCTGGCTGTGTAAATGTCCAGCGACGCCAGCTCCCTTCTCCCTGCTTTTATGAATTCATCCAATCAACACCAAAAGTCTACATAACCATCCCTTTGTCAGTTTATCTCTAAAACTATTGTATTATTTTTTTCAGTTTTTTTTATTTGGATTGTCAGATAAAGGTCAGCATATCTAAGAAAAAAAATGTGTTCTGTGTCAGATCTATATTAATAACTTAATTTTCTTCCAGTGATATTTTTGGTGCTTCAGTTCTTTAATTGTCATGGCATCTTTGGAAAATTTTCTGATTATTTATTTTTGTGTTTTTGTTTAAGATTTAACCCCCAAACGACATTCAGTAAGAAAGAAAGGTTTGTCCTTCCTCATTCACTTCTATTCTTTTTTAATTTTCTAGTCTTTCTGAAACTATTGTTGCATTTAATCAAATTATTAATATTTATGTAAATGAACTCAATTGTATCTGTAAGATTAAAAAAAGATTGTCCATATCAATTCCATTACACATGATTTAAAGGATAAAATAGCAAAAATGCCACTTAGTTGTAGATTTTGTGATGATGTTTTCTCTTCTGTTTCTTTACTAGGAGAATTTCTGCCACCAAAAGAGAAAGGTTGGTTATTCCCACCCCTAGAATGTATCTTCTTTTTTTAAATTGGGCTTCAGACTTATCTTTCATGCACTGATGAACTGAACTATGCAAGGGAATTTATTAAGTGCTTATTAATATTAATTCTTATGAACAAGAGGCTGATCATAAAGCTTTTTTGCATACTTAGAAATCTTAGGATTTTTTACATCCACCATTCCATACTTTTATACTGTATAAATTAAATTTATATATGCAGTGTTTATTTTGATGCTCAGAGTATACTGTATATGAAAATTTAAACTTGCTATTTGATTTTCTTCTGAATTCTTTTGCATTGTTAGTTATTCTTTACAATTTATTGGATTAAATTTTGAACACATTTGAGTTCATTAGTTCTTCCATACAGTCAGATGTTGCAAGCAAGACTAATAATTAGCATTAAAATAACAGGAAAAGGTGCCAGCACAGACTCTCTCAGATTATTTACATTTTTTTCTGTGAAAACTGACAGATGTGTTACCTTCATTAGCATGTGAAACATATCAGTATTGGTATATCGATAGACTCATTCTCTTCTATTAGATGAAATAATATATAAACTTGCAAATAATATTTACTTACAAGTCACTCTCAGTGTTTACTGCAAATGAAATACCAAAATAATGTTTGTTGCAGTGCACATTTTAATAAACTGAAGATCTGGGAGGTTGAATGCTGGTCCCTTTCGTTTATAAACATAACAGTGCTTCGCAATGCAATACTAAGCAGCTTGCATGCTTACTAAAATTTCCGAATGTGGCATGAAAGCAAGTCTGTAGAAACTCATTCCTCTATTCATCTATTCATTTTCAGTTCTGTTTATCCATTTGATGTGTATGGCAGAACGATTCATAAAGTCTGGAATAGAATCCACGTCAATCGTTAGACACATTGTGTATGTAGGATGTGAGTGCATGCTTGTGAGTATGAGAAAGAGTGAGAGAAGAGTAAGAGAGAACAAATATTTATCATTTCTTCATTTTCCTTCCATTTTGCTTTGAAGATTTAGGTTTATAAATGTTACATCATTCTTGTATTTTCTGTTCTTACATTGAGACTGCACCTTGTGATGTAAAGCACAAATAAAATATGTTATGAGAAGCGTGGAGACTGTTTTTCTCTACGATTTGTTGTGTGCGACGCGTGTTTGAAGTTAAGCATGCAGAGCAAGAGAGGGAATCGAAGAGAAGCTGAAGCTCTTTATAAATGTCTTCTTGTATCTCCTACTGTGTGGTTGCTCTCTGTCACTGACTCTCTCTTTGTTATTGGACTGCGAGGATCTAACGTCGGCCCATTGTCGGCATGATGTATGAGGTTGTGCGAGTTCCCAGTGGTTCTTGAATCATCCTGCACCATACTGTTCACACCATATCTGCCATACAACCTAAAAGCAGATTCAGTTCAGTTACATGCATATATCCAGAAATTGCTAAGAGGATGGGTAGTGCTGAATTAGGTTGCCGCTGCATCATAGTTATTGTTGGAACATTAGTTTATCAGTGTCATCTGTGAGGCTAATGTATCAAATGCTGTCCATGTCTTTGGTAAATTAACAAAACAGCTGAATGATATAGTTGCAGAAATACTTGGAAGGAAAGACACCATCTTTCAAATGAAGATGCGGAAAAAAATGAAAAACGTGGAGGACAGTGACAACAAAATTCACAAGTTTAATTTTTTTAAAGATGAGAAAGATGAAAATATTAAAATAAAATCGACCATTTTTGATGATGATGAGCAAAGTCATGACATAGAAAATGAAGATGATGACGGTCATATCAGTGGTGATAATGCCCAGGATATCCATGATGAAAATGATGAAGGTCTAGATGATCATTCAGAAGCTCACAATATTAACCTTGAAGACATTAGTAATGACGATCTTGATGTTGCCGATGATGTCCATGACATTCAAGATAAAGATACTGGTGACCATGGTGATGATGAGACTCACAACATTGGCCTTGCTTTTCACAATGCTGAAAATCTTGAAATTGAACAACGAGAAGATGGTCATTTTGATGATGATAATGCACATGACATTCATGAAGAAAATGGTGGTCTTGCGGATGACGTTGGTACTCAAAATATTGATCCTGAAGATGATGGCCGTGCTGCTGCTCCTGATGATGATGCTCATAAAATGAATCAAGGCCAAGATGACCATGGTTCTGATCGTGCAGATGATGATAGTCGTGATTCTGATGGTGATGCCAATGGCACTGCATGTGAAGATGATGGTGCTACACATGGGGATCATTCTGAAGCTGGGGATAGTCCTGATTATGATGATAATATCCATGACATTGAACTTAAAGAAGGTGGCAGTAAACTTGATCATAATCATGCTCCAAACATTAGCTACACTGCTAACCATGATGTCCATGTTACTGATGAAGAAGATGAAGGCGTTGTCGATGGTGGTCATCACGTTGACTTTCAAGGTGCTGATCAAAAGATCAAAGATGAAGACGACGAAAAGAAAAAGGTGGCAGTAGATGCTGGAAGTCATCAAAATCAAGAAGATGCCAAAGATGTTACCAAAGACGTGAAGGATATGGGCAGAGGCGGAGAAAGAGAGGATGAAACAGAGATGAGTACTGTTATTGGCCATGATGCAACCGATAGAGATGATAACGATATTACAGCTGAGAGAAATTTGGAATATAAAATTACCAAGACTGAGGTTCTGCCTCCTGCTGAAGACCAGTCTGAAGAAATTAAAGTTGCAGAGAACGTTGAGAGAAATCAAGAAGACCAAAAAACAGGTATTCAGGTATCCCTTTAATAAAGTTCTGCCCAATTTCCATAAACTTGTACAACATGATGAACAACATGATTTTTTTAGAGTTTAAGGTAATAGTCACATTACTGTGTTCCGTGAACAAACATGCATGTGATACCTTGCGAGAAACATAACTAATGAATTGAGGATTTATACACTGTCACAGCTGAGTATAATCACATAACTGATATATGCTTTGCTTTGCTTTGGTTACTGCTGCTAGAATGTAGCATTATTAGTCAATAATATATGACATTTTTGCAGTTAATCCTGGTAAAGCGTAATATAATGATACTAATAATTATTTTAAAATCCAATTCATTTCTTTTGTACTTACCTGTTTTTCTGGTATTTTCAATATATGTGCTGTCATGCACAAAGCAATGCAATTTAACTTGAAAGCTTTGCAAAAATACAAATGTTTTCAACAAAGTCATTATATATGCATCATAAATGGCTAATAATAATGACCTCAACAATATGTAAACAGTTGTTCATTAAAAGCTTAATATTGCTCACAATGCTTTCGTCCATGTACTGTATGGAAAATGTTATGTGACTGATAATTAAGCAGTGTAGCACAAGTGTTTACATTTTGATGTATATTTTAGGAGTGGGACATATACACACAACAAAGTGTTAATCACATGTTTTATTTACAGAATTACAAAGACAGTTGAAATGTCAATGGGTAAAAATACTGGGATGTTTGGGGCTTTGTTGATTGTCTTTTTTGCACGTGATTTAGAGCTTAATTATTGTGCTTTTCTCTGTTTTCTTTCACAGAACCTATAGGTAAGAAATATTAATCTGATTTGTTGGGGTCAGTATTTTCATTGCAAACATTTTCCTGTAAGTGGAAACATATACCATCCTGTTAGTGTAGCGCAAGCTAAAACCCTGCATTCCTTTAAGTCAGAGCTAGATAAGATTTTAACAACTCTGAGCTATTAGTTAAGTTCTCCCCAAACGAGCTTGATGGGCCGAATGGCCTCCTCTCATTTGTAAATTTCTTATGTTCTTATTTATAATTTAATTATATGGAATTAGCCATTTAAAGTGTTCTGTCTCCCTCAAAGTGGACACCTGTGAATCTGACAGTAGCGATATGCATGGCGGTTCAGTTCTTAACATGGACATGTTTGCATATGCAGAGATATGGTTCGGGAAAACTTTCCAAGTAGAAGAGGAACATCTGGAAAAAGCAGAGGCTAGGATACAGAGAGATGAAAAAGAAGAGGCACTGACAGAAAAAGCCAAGCCCACCCCTGAACAAAAAGTACACAAGCCATCTGAGCACGACGGTAAACAGCACTGCAGAATATTCCGGGGATGCAAATGCTGGCGGAGACATACAGCAAATAAGGGGAACTTCCAGTTAAACATGTTATATGTAGAAATATGATGAAGGAACAATAAATATGATGGAACATCAGTAATATGCTGATCGAAGTACTGGGTGCCAGCAATGAAACTCACCGATCAGGGTGGAGGCGGGAGTTTCTGTCGGCCAAATTTGCTGATGGGGGAGGGGGGTATTGCTCTCCCCATATTATTATAGATTGTAATATTTTAAGCAAATTAGTTATATAAATGGTTTATAGTGCACATTTTTTCGATGTGTTTTGTCACTCAAAAAAAAAAAAAATCAAGATCATTGGGGGCCCCTAGAGTGTGGGGCCCAAGGTTGTTTGCACTTCTCGCATTACCACCCCCCTCCCCGCCCCCGCCCCCCAAATTCCACCTCCCATCATTAAAGGAACCTTACAGTCACACCGCATATTTATTCTTGAGTCACACAATTTTAGTCACACTTGTTTTTGCAACAGCAAATATTGTAAATTATAATATTGCAAATTATAATCACTTTTAAAGTGTTTCGAACAGTAAGCAGGCACTGTGGTGGCAGTTTCTTATTTCCATGCGTCATGCTTGTAGTTACATGGTGTCCGTGCATTTGCATGTATCCTGTAATCTGTATTGTTTGATTTACATTCAAGCTAAAGTGTCAGAGAAGCTGAAGGCCAAGGAAGAAAAACAGAAAGACAGGAAAAAACAAGAAAAGCCGACAGCCGAGAAAAAAGCAGACCGACCTTCACTGGAAGAGCCAAGAAAGACTAAACCTGAGGGTAAAAATATCAGCAGAAAATACCATAAAACATGAAGTAAAGAGTTTGATGTGCTTAATAAAGGGAGCTATCTTCCCCTGCAAAACTAGCATCACAGCAACTACAGAAACCAGAAAGTGAATAAGTAAAACTGTTTCATTCTATCCATCTACACTATATTGCTAAAAGTACTGGGCCACCTGCCTTTACACACGCATGAACTTTAATGACATCACATTCTTAATACATAGGCCTGTCTCACAGTCTAATTCATCCCAGTGGTGTTCTGTTGGGTTGAGGTCAGGGCTCTGTGTAGGCCAGTCAAGTTCCGCCACATCAGACTCGCTCATCCATGTCCTTTACTTTCACTGGAACTAAGAGGCCATGCCCAACCCCTGAAAAACAACCTCAAAACCACCACACTTTACACTTGGCACAATGCAGTCAGGCAAGTACCATTCTCCTGGCAACCGCCAAACCCAGACTCGTCCATCGGATTGTCAGACAGAGAAGCGTGATTCATCACTCCAGAGAACACGTCTCCACTGCTCTAGAGTCCAGTGGCGGTGTGCTTTACACCACTGCATCCGATGCTTTGCATTGCACTTGGTGATGTAAGGCTTGGATGCAGCAGCTTGGGCATGGAAGACCATTCCACGGCGCTCTCTACGTGCTGTTCTTGAGCAAATCTTAAGGTCACACGAAGCTTGGAGGTCTATAGCTGTTGGATTGGAATACCTGAATTCAATGATTTGGAGGGATATCCCAATACTTTTGGCGATATAGTGTATCTTCCACAAAAAGCTGAATTTTCATTCTGTTTCATAACTTGAAAGTCAAACAGATCTACATTTATTTATGAATTGGAGTGTGAGTTAATATACTGAGTAAATGTGAATTAATTTACTTAGTCAAATGACTTCCCAACCAAGGGTTCCATTAAATTGATTGTATTACTTCTTACTCTGTCCCATTGCCTGCATTATTTTTGTATGTAGTCCTACCACATCAATATTAGTGGTAAATGACAGAATTTTGGGGGATAGAAGTATACTTTATGAGTCACGATGCATTGAATCTTAGAACACGCTGGTGGACATTTGTGAACTCCTTAGCATTTCACTAAACACGTTTCACTTTTTTGGAAAGTTATAAAATTTGGAAAGTTTGTGTGAAGTTTGTGTCTGAAAAAACACACTTGTTGCAAAGAAAGCATCGTAAAACGTTCTGAAAGTTCTCACTCTGTGTTTATCAACTCTTTCTTTCTTTAGAAAAGCTTGTCACAGTAGCGGAGACAAAAAGAGAAAAAATACAGTTAAAACCCGAGAAGAAAGTAGAGATATCAAAGACGAGAGATATCAAACCCCCTCCTGAAGTGGAGAAGACAAAAGAGGTCGACGCCAAAGGTAAAAACTTTATTCAAAAAATGTCAACAGCTGAATGACTGACTGCATATACTGCAAAATTATGCTCAGCAATGGCTTGTGATTTTTCTTAATTGATTTCCCTTATAGCTATTAAGCCTGACAAAGTAACGGAAAAACCAAAAGAAAAAGAGGAAAAAGACAAAAAAGAACAAAAAAGGGAAGGTCCTGTGAAGAAGAAAGTAGAGATACCACAAAAAAAGGAGGCAACTGTGGGAAAAGTCAAACCTACAGCTGAACCCAAAGTTGAGAAACCAAAGAAGACTGAGAGCAAAGGTAAAAACGACAGGGCCAATTAGCAGGACACACTAATTAGGAATAACAGGACAATAAAAAATAAGATGTAAAGCCTAATTGAACCTTATCAAAGACACACAGCTTGTGTTCTCAATGAATGCCCATTTCCACTGACAGCAGCACCTGAGAAACCACAAAAGGACAAAAAGCCAGAGAAGAAAGTGGAGGAACTGAAAAGAGTGGAAAAGAAAATAGAAAAAGCCAAAGCAGCTGTCGAACCCACAGTCAAGAAAGCAAAGGAGGATCAATCCAAAGGTAAGGAGAGCAGGATGGAAGGCAGGAGGACAAAAGCCCCAATTGTGCTTAGCCCTGGGCTCTCGTCATTTCAAAGACCTTACATCTCCAAAGACCTTTTGTATCCACCCAGTGTAGGATACTGTAGGTCATTAAGTTGCAAATACAAAAGTGTATCAACATTATAAATCAGTAAATGTAATTTTAATTGTATAGAGAGTATACCTAAAATAACCAACAATAGTACTGGTATTCCTGTCCCCCCACGTACACAATATGTTATAGTACTAGAACAAACACTAAAAGAGGGGAAACCTGAGAAGAGAACAGAAAGAGAAAAGAAAGATGAAAAAACTGTGAAGAAAACCAAGCCCCCCACTGAATCTGAGGTCGATAAACCGGCGGAGATGGCATCTAAAGGTAAACATATCAACGCAAGTTACAGTCAAGATTTAGGAAAAACAGGCTGTGACATCAGTAACCAAAATTTTATATGACAATAAACTAGCAAGATTAGTGTAGATTAGCAATTTTAAAGCAAGAATATTTAGATTATATTTTGGGTATATTTTTGGATGTTTTAATATGTGTATTCATTTACAGTCTTCAAATAGAAAGTGGGTCATTAGATATTTCAAGAATAAGTCAGCAATTAGGTATTACCTTTTCATGTTTTAGGACAATAGTATTGTATGGTTTACAATGAATTGACTATAAAATGTCAGTGGCTACAACGTTGTTGGATCTGATTTCTGCAGCACTTAAGCCAAAAGTAAAGGAAGGAAGAATAAAGGACAAAAAAGAACAAGACAAGCCTGCAAAAGCAGAAAAGAAAACAGTGAGAGAAGAAAAGGCTGAGGGAATTAAACCTGCTCCTGAATCCAAAGTGGAGAAGCCAAAAACGACGGACATCAAAAGTAATAGACAAACAAACAAACAAAGCATTTAAATAAATAATGAATGAATCTAGCATAAAACCAACCAAATCACCGAATAATACTTAGCGGAAGATAGAACAAAATAGTTTGTATCAACTCCTAATTCAAAATAAAAATATATTGAATATAATGAATTTTTAATTGTTCAGGCATCAATGTTCCTAGTGTTAAAGTTGAAAACACAGCATTGGGTTAAAGGAAAAATAAACTGCATTAATATTTAATATTTTAAAATGTATTAATTTATAATTAATATTTCAGATGGTATAGGATGACGTTAATGTTTAATATATGTATTAAATGTAATATTGTGACATGAAAGTAAAGTCAACTGTTGTGTGTTTTTTACTGTCAGTAGAACACAAAGCTGAAATAGAAGCAGAAACAAAGAGACCTTCAAAGCAGAAGGAAAAAGCAGAGAAATCAAAGAAAAAAGAAAAAGCCAAGCCAGCTCTGGAAGTCAAAATGGATAAAGTGAAGGAGTTGGAACCCAAAGGTAAATGAAAACATTCATTTCCAGCTACCTCTATCTCAACTTCACCCAGCTAAAAAATACAGATGATGTTGATGATGATGACGATGATGATGATGATGTTAGACTGCACAGGACTGGCATCCCACCCAGGGAACTGCTGCTTTGTGCCCTAATCTGGCATGGGATTGGAATTTTGATTGTTATAGAAGTTGAGCAGCTTTCAGTTCCCTTTGTCTGTTTGTACTTGTAGAAAAACAGAGGGCAAAGGCTGATAAAGAATCTGAAAAGAAGTCTGTAATACCTGAGAAGGAAGTGGAAAAAGCAAAGGAATTTGCACCAACCCTAGAAAAAGTCAAACCTACTGCAGAATCAAAAGTGGAGAAACTAAAGAAAGAAGAACCTGTTACAGAACAGGTCAAACCTACAGAGGGACTCAAAGTGGAAAAACTGAAAATGGAAGGACCAGTTACAGAAAAAGTCAAACCAACAACAGAATTAAAAATGGAGAAACCAAAGAAAGAAGAACCAAAAAGAGAAAAAGTTGAACACACTGGAGAACCCAAAGCGGAGAAACCAAAAAAGGAAGAACTAAGTACAGAAAAAGTCAAACCCACAGCAGAACCTAAACTGGAGAAACCAAAGAAAGAGGCAGTTTCCGCAAAAGCCAAACCTACGGGAGAATCCAAAGGAGAGAAACCCAAGAAGGAACTGGTTACAGAAAAAGTCAGATTCAAAGCAGAACCAAAATTGGAGAAACAGAAGATGAAAGAACCAGTTACAGAAAAAGTCAAACCCACAGCAGAAACCAAACTTGATAGACCAAAGAAGGAAGAACCAGTAATAGAAAAAGTCAAACCCAAAGCTGAATCCAAACTGGAGAAACCAAAGAAAGAACAAATTTCCGAAGAAGCCAAACCTACAGCAGAACCTAAAGTGGAGAAATCAAAGAAGGAAGAACTGGTTAAAGAAAAAGTCAAGCCCACGGCAGAACCCAAAGTGCAGAAACAAAAGAAGGAAGAACCAGTCAGAGAAAAATTCAAATCCAAAGCTGAACCCAAACTGGAGAAACTAAAGAAGGAGGAATCGGTTACAGAAAAAATCAAACCAAGAACTGAAGTCAAAGTAGAGAAACCAAAGAAAGAAGAACTGGTTACTGAAAAAGCCAAACCCACTGCAGAACCCAAAGTGGAGAAACCAAAGAAGGAAGAACCTGTTAGAGAAAAAGCCAAACCTACAGCAGAACCTAAAATGGAGAAACCAAAGATTGAAGAACTGGTTACTGGAAAAGTCAAACTGACTGCAAAGCCCAAAGTGGAGAAACCTAAGAAGGAAGAACCTGTTACAGAAAAGGTTAAACCCACAGCAGAACCCAAAGTGAAGAAACCAAAGAAGGCAGAACTTGTGATAGAAAAAGTCATACTTACAGCAGAACCCAAAGTGGAGAAACCAAAGAAGGAAGAATCTGTTACAGAAAAAGTCAAACCTACAGCAGAACCTAAAGTGGTGAAACCAAAGAAGGCAGAACCTGATACAGAAAAAGCCAAACCTATAGCAGAACCCAAAGTGGAGAAACCAAAGAAGGAAGAACCAAAAAGAGAAAAAGTTAAACACACTGGAGAACCCAAAGCGGAGAAACCAAAAAAGGAAGAACCAATTACAGAAAAAGTCAAACCCACAGCAGAACCTAAACTGGAGAAACCAAAGAAAGAGGCAGTTTCCGAAAAAGCGAAACCTATGGGAGAATCCAAAGGAGAGAAACCCAAGAAGGAACTGGTTACAGAAAAAGTCAGATTCAAAGCTGAACCAGAATTGGAGAAACAGAAGAGGAAAGAACCAGTTACAGAAAAAGTTAAACCAACAGCAGAACCTAAAGTGGGGAAAGCAAAAAAGGCAGAACCTATTACAGAGAAAGTCAAACCTACAGCAGAATTCAAAGTGGAGAAACCAAAAAAAGAAGAACTGGTTACTGGAAAAGTCAAACCCACTGCAAAGCCCAAAGTGGAGAAACCGAAGAAGGAAGAACCTCTTACAGAAAAAGCCAAACCTACAGCAGAACCCAAAGAGGAGAGATTAAAGAAGGAAGAACCTGTTGCAGAAAAAGTCAAACCAACAGCAGAACCTAAAGTGGAGAAACCAAAGAAGGCAGAACCTGTTACAGAAAAAGCCAAACCTACAGCAGAACCCAAAGTGGAGAAACCAAAGAAAGACGAACTGGTTACTGGAAAAGTCAAACCCACTGCAGAACCCAAAGTGGAGAAACCGAAGAAGGCAGGACCTGGTACAGAGAAAGTCAAACCCACTGCAGAAGCCAAAGTGGAGAAACCGAAGAAGGAAGAACCTGTTGCAGAAAAAGTCAAACCTACAGCAGAACCTAAAGTGGAGAAACCAAAGAAAGAAGAACCGATTACTGGAAAAGTCAAACCCACTGCAGAACCCAAAGTGAAGAAACTGAAGAAGGCAGAACCTGTTACAGAAAAAGCCAAACCTATAGCCGAACTCAAAGTGGAGAAACCAAAGAAGGATGAACCTGTTGCAGAAAAAGTCAAACCAACAGCAGAAACTAAAGTGGAGAAACCAAAGAAGGCAGAACCTGTTGCAGAAAAAGTCAAACCTACAGCAGAAACTAAAGTGGAGAAACCAAAGAAGGCAGAACCTGTTGCAGAAAAAGTCAAACCTACAGCAGAACCTAAAGTG